GTGTCGTGCCCCCGGGGGGGGGGGGGGGGCAGGGCTGCTAGAATACACCCCCCTTGTTGCTCACTTGCAGTAAGTGAGCAACATGAACCCATGTAGTAAAAATAAGGAGGAAAAAATATGATTACAAAGCCAAATGCCACAGCCCTTGTGTGGGAGGGTTGTTAGCGTGAACAAGCTAGTGTGACGAATTTTTTTTTTTTTGAAAATGTTGACAACAACAACACAACAAACTTGCATGCCCACTGAAATCATAACAGTTTTCCCAGCTGGGGAAAATAACTGCACCTTGAGATACAGAGCCTTCCTCCTAACAGTTAACACTCACTGAGGCGTTGGTCAACAAAGTAAATACAAAGGTAACAGCGGAAAATAGTGTGTAGATCGCAAAAGAAATGCTGCCTTTATGCCTAAATTTTAAATATTTATTAAATACAGTTTTATTTGTTGAGACTTAATAAGCCATTTATTTACTGTTCCCATTTATGTATTTTTATTATCAGTGTTTTGATTTTGTTTTATTTATTCCATTCCATTCCAATGGTAAAAAATAGTCACGAGAAATTAAAGTTTGTTGCATTTGAATGGTGGTGTACTTGCATTTTTATAATATATATCAACATTACATTAGTTAAAATAATAACTAAAGTCTATTATTGGCAAAAATTTGTAGGACAATATATATCGTCTGGCAAAATGTATTGTCCCAGGCCTAGTTTGGAGGTATTTTAACATCAGGCACAAGGACAGGTGTGCACAATGTAGCAGAATACATACTAGCAAATTTATACTGGTTTGTAAAAAAAAAAAAAAAAAAAAAAATCCAAACCAGTCCAATCAAGACAACCTTAGTTTTAGTCATTAGCATAGCATTGGTCAAAGTAAGGCTACAAATGATTATTATTTTAACACCATTACAGTGAAACAAATACATCGCCTCATCTATTCTAGTGCCCGGGGTTTGTCTGATGATTCTATTTTCCATGATCTGATTAAATGTATTAAATCATGTTTAGGAGAAAATAGTTTTTGTGTTTGGGCCCTTTGCTCTCTAACCCTAATGTTGAGACTTTGTGGCAACTTTGAATATGTCTGTATTATCTTTATGTAGAACCACCCTGAAACTATGAAGCTGGTATGTGATGGTTTTTCCTTTGTCTGATTGTTTAAGAGGCAGGCATGGACTAAAAGCCTTTTAGCAATCTGGAAAGAAATGACTTAATGGATGGAGAGCCATCTGAGAGCTAAGCAGAGACGATGCAGTCTGACAAAACACGCGTCCTAATTGTATTCAACCATCTTACTTCTGAGATCCTCCCATTTTGTCGTACCAAGAATATCTGACCACTCTTGGAGTATATATATATATATGGTGTGTTTAAATCTCTTGCTGCTGTTTCACATTCTTGCCTTGTTATATATATGAGAAGCTTTTACAGAAGCTAATGTTCTGTCAGTTACTGGTTTTTATGGATTCCCATTTGGAAGCTTGGTGTTAAGTATGTTTTGTTTTTTTTCTTTTTCTCAAGTTACAATCCTTAGAACGGTAAAGCTGTCCCCAACCTATTAGGGTCTTCTAATTCCGTCACGTTGCCAGTAAATAATGGTTCTGACTAAATGTCTTTAATAAACTGATATTATGTGTTTGTATATTCTAACATCTCCAAATAACAAAGGCTCTCTAGCCACTGTAAAAGTATTGCATCTCCGCGCGAGTGTTTAAAATCGCACTTTGCTCAGAATAACAAGTTGCTAAGATATGAAACCGTCTATAAGATCACGATAATGAGATGCTTTTTAACCACCCTATTGACTTGACTGAGCTCGAGGTAGGGATTAAAAAGGCACAGTGGGGCAGAGCGGAGAAAAATAAACAAATTAAGACATTTCCCATCAGACGGGCTCTTTTTAAAGAACCCTTTTGTCTCCTTCTTGTGTCAAATGTGACAAAAGCTATTAGCCCATAAAATGACTTGCCTTTGTTTTAGTAGTGCATTCTGTCATTGAGTGCAATGAAAAGATGTGGAGCAAGGCACTAATTGTACTAATGTGTAGTCGCGATAAACAAGTGTCTCATCTGTCACCATGAAAGTCATTTCTATAAAATCAATGTTATTTCTGTCGCACTTCCATAATCCACATTCTAATTAGGCTTAAGCAGCTGGTTCGTCAGTAGAAAAGAGACTGCGCCGTGGGCGTTTGCCATTCTTCTCATGAAAGAACATGAAATTGTGGGCTGAGGGTTTGACACCAATTCTGCGTCTGCCGCATGCACAACGGAGTTGGCCTTGTGAGTCACACACTTGTTTTGCTGACTGCTGATAATACATTTCCCAACAATCTTTATGTGAGAACCTAGTGGGTCATTTAGAGAAGTGAGTATTTTCAAACAGAAAAAAAAAAAAAAAATCCCCTCTACCGTTGCTAAACTTCCCTCAAAGTTTGTGAGACAGCAATGTTGGAAAATCCGTGTTTTGCTTGTGCCGCTTAAATCATTTTTTTACGATTTTGGTTTTAACGGCTGTACCACCAGTAGTGTTTACTTCCTAAGCAGGGATGTACCTGAAAGCCCAACACAGTACGCCATTGGCTGTCTCTATTGCAAAGGAAATAACTTGTAGTTACCTAACTTGGCAGAGCCTTACGTTGCGTCTTGCGATAACTATGTATCTATATATCTATATATAACTATATAAATTATGACCACGGATGACCAACTGCTTCTGATATAATCCTTATCTGTCTTCGGACATCAAGTTTTTTTTATGCAAGTAACTAATATTTGGACGAAGTTCCATGATGTTTGCTCAATGTTAATGCACAGCGCAAGGTTGTAGTGTCTGGATAATCATTTTAAGTAGATATACATCCCCTTAAAATGTCACTTGTTTCTCTGTTTTTTGGTTGTTGTTTTTTTTGGCGTTGTGTATATTTCGGTTTTATTAAGGTAGCTTGTTAACTTTTATGTGCA